TAATACTTGCAAACCGAATAAACATATACTGAATATAAATTTAACTACTACTCCGCGAGAAATCTTGCGTCTGCGCAGTCGGACTGTAAACAGTTCCTAAACTAGTTTTTTCACAATACATTCCGTACAGATCTTCAGGAGAAACTCAGAAATACGCAGGGGCGACAAACAGACTTTCTATACGCAGCATGGCTCATTTTGGAATAGATAAAATTAACAAGGGCACCGTTGTGAATCGGTCATTTTACTCTTAAAATGTGAGATAAATTGAAATTACATGGACACTGAGAGTCCTTTATAGAGTTCCTGAATTTATCTGGCAAAACACAATTAATGTGAACTTCCCAACACATTTCAAAACTGTATTCTGCAAAAGTTTGCAAGATTTTTTATCCAAAGAGAAAAAATAAAAGGGAAAAGCAAATCAAAAACGATCGTGTTTGGTTTGCTTTTTTCATTTTCTTTCAGGGGCGAAATTTGGCATAGTGGGTAGTGGCGGAAGAGAAAATATTTAGAATTAACAATGTTGTACCTCGAACCCATCAGGGACCCTGTGTCCTGAGATGGCTTGCTGTCCTACACATGCAATCATCTGGGAGATGTTGATAAAGGACCCCTTGGACCCGCACAGAGCCATCACCAGGGGAGCATTTGACTTGTGCAGAGCTGTCAAAGATGCTTTTCCGGCTTTATCTCTGCAAATAATAAATATTGTTAACATTTTAAGAAATTCTTTGAATTCAATCAATCTAATTTTAAATATTTTATTCGGCTGAAAATAATTTTTCTGAAAAAAATGTTCACCAAAAAAATTACAAGGATTTAATTATTATTTCATTCTTTTTCCTTTATTTTTTATAGTTAGTCTAAAAATAAATTAAAAATAGAAGAAAATAATTTAAGAATTCTTCGTTTGTTGAAAAACAGTAACTCTTAGAGAAATGTTCATGACATGGATCCTAAGCACTGTAATAAATATAAAAACCTAATTGTGGAAAGCTCATGAAGTATGTTTGCTTCTAATGTTTCTTCCTCAGAACATCCTGCAGAACAGGGCAGTGTACCCGACTCCAGTTGGGCAATATACCTGACACAAGTATCATCATCAACACTGTTATCATTAGTAAAATTATCATCATCAACACTGTTATCATTGGTAAAATTATCATCATCATCAACACTGTTATCGTTAGTAAAATTATCATCATCATCAACACTGTTATCATTAGTAAAATTATCATCATCAACACTGTTATCATTAGTAAAATTATCATCATCAACACTGTTATCATTACTAAAATTATCATCATCATCAACACTGTTATCATTGGTAAAATTATCATCATCAACACTGTTATCATTGGTAAAATTATCATCATCATCAACACTGTTATCATTTGTAAAATTATCATCATCAACACTGTTATCATTAGTAAAATTATCATCATCATCACTGTTATCATTAAAATTATTAAGCTTATAAGTGTCATCTTTAAAAGTATTATGATTATCGGTATCGTCATCATTCTCAATATTAGCAAAATAAATATGATAATCGTCAATCCCATTATAGATAAAAGGTTTATCATCAGTCTTCTTGTTAATTTAAGTACAGGCCCAGGGATACCCAATGAAGATGAGACTTCAAAGAATTATATTCATGATTCCCTGCAACTGAAAACTTGTTTCTTTCTTTGCTAAAACATGTAATAAGCTATTAAAAGACTATAATCAAGGCAAAAAACTTAATTTAACCTAGGAATCTACATATTCTAATACTTTTAGACCATCTTTACTATCTCATTTTTTGTGGGTAATCCTGTACTATCAATCTTATTATAAGTAAAATTAATGTCATCATTATTCATGTTATCAAAACAAATCAAATCAAATCTCAAACCCAAAGTGAATCTCTGGTTAAAGAAGAGATTCTAAATAGAGACGAGCACAGAATTTGTGCCTCTAAATAGAGCAGGCAGGGAGAATGGATTCCTCTGTCTTGCAAGAAGATCCCAGGAAACCAAATCTGTGGATCTGATTGAAACTGTGGTAGCAGTATATCTACATTGCTAATTTAGTTCATTGTTTTAGTTTTATACAAATAACTTTGTAATGTAACCTATTTACTATTATGCTTTTAATAGAAATGTTCAACTACTTTGCTTTTTATTGGTGTAAGACTGAATTCTACTAGAGTACTTTGGCGTGCATCATTTCTTCTAAAACAATGGCCTTGAAGCTTTAAAGCTTATAACAACCGTTTACGCTTTCTACATTAAATTTAATTCTTTATTTTCTGTATCTTATTATTGGCAGTTTTGTTTTGTTTGCCAAGATGTACTCCGTAAATTCAAAGATGGCAATGCCCGTTTCACGTTGGTACATTGAAACCTTGATCAATAATGTGAAAAATATTTTTAATTTTCTAGGGTTAAAAGTGTTTAATTCAGATAATTCTTACATGTTTCCTGAAGTAAAATTGAAAATAAAAAGTTTTTAAAGTTATAAACATGAATATCTAATTTTACTTGAATTTAATCAGAAAAAGCTATTGTTGATAATTGGACATTGCCATCGTGAAGGGCTACTTGAAATTATGCGTACGCCATACTTGAAAAGCTTACCCATCACATTTATCATATCCCGATGAAACCAGTCCCTGTTTCAGTTTGAGAAGAGATGGCGAAGGGGTAACATCTCCGATTCCAATAGAAAACCCTCTAGTTGGCACAATAATAAAAATAAAAATAAATAGATTTTATAATTTCAATATCTTAAAAACTTACATTTTTCACACATAAGAAAGAAGTTTTATTGAGCTAAGAAAAGAAATCTTTAAAACTTTTATAATGTAAATTTTAAACCTTCAGAGAGAGGTAGGATTTAATGAATAGCAAGAAGAGGTTGAACTACGTAACGTACCCGAGACTGCATTCAACAAGTAATTAAACAACCGTATTTAGTTAAACGACTTCTTGCTATTCATTAAATCTGACCTATGGCTTATTTTGATATCCAAAATACAATGAAAATGTTATAATGTTCTATTTAGTATGTTCCAATTAAAAAATAACTTAGATCGATTAATTATTGTTTAAATTCCTATTCATAAGGAACCAGCTTGCCACCCTGGATAACCGCCACATAGCAACACATGCCATATCCTCACTGTAATCTCTAAAACATGGATCAATCAAGTAATCAATCAATCAATCAATCAAAGCAGTCAAGCCAATCAAATCAATCAATCAAATCCATTAATTAATCATTCAATCGAATACTAACCAACCAACCAAATAACCAACAAATCTGCAGAAAACTACACACCCAATAAAAACCAACCAACCAAACTCAATCCCACAAGTAAGCTTACCAAAAACTAACCACCAAACCGGAACAACCAACCCCATTAAAAAAGCACTCATTAATTAAACAAGCCAACCAACTAACCAACATAACAAACAATTAACCAACTAACCAACCAACCAACTAACCAACCAACCATCCAACCAACCAGTGTTTCGGATCCATATCATTTTGATTCGGATCCGGATCCGGATCCGCGGATCCGCATCCGTGATGATGGTCAGAAACCCAACCCTCACACCGATATTCCTCAGGTTTTCAAGTTAGAATAAGGACTTAAAATTTATTTAATTACTATTTTTTAGTACAAGTTTATAAAGAAACAAAATGTACGAGATAATATCAATAAGTTTCGCTAAAATTTTCTTATAAAGTCTCAGCTCTAATTTTTTTTCAATTTCACTATATTTACATACATTTTTGACCAGGTTTACGTCAAGCAGATTGCTGTTGTGATGTAAGGAGTGTTCTCCTGAAGGTGGATTAGCTTCGTTGTCACAACATAGGAATATCTAGAATATTGATCAGAGAAAGAGGACACTTGGAGGCTCGATTACCCAAAAATGTTTTTTTTTAGACGATGCAAAAACCAAACAGAATCCTTAAACCTGACCCAGAACGCATTTTAAAACGATTTTATGAACTTAAATGGTAGTTTAATGGGGTTCAACTACACATTTACAAAGTTGTAAAGAAGGGTTTGAAAATGACAAAAACTTGTTTAAACGTCTCTGACATAGGACCAAAGGGATGACATTGATTATGTATCTCTTATGTAAATCAAAGCCAGAAAAATCCTCATAAGTCCTTAATACTTGTCTCTCTTCTCTTTTGATCGCTCTTAAAGGGTCTAAAACAGACTACGAAGCTGATATACTTCGGGAGAACGCTTCTTACAATTACAGATATGATTGAAATCAACTGATTTTAAAAATAATCCGGTCTGAATAGTGAATTAAAAAAAATTTGAGGGCTGAGACTTCTACAAGTACCCCCCAAATTTTTTTCGAAACTTATTGATCACACCTCGAACATGCACTTTATGAAATTTGTTTTTCAAATTGTTAGTTTTGTAGTTAAAAAAGAGCTATATTCTATTATTTAAATTAGCAGGTGTCTCTTGAAGGAGCCGCCCTCTGATTTCTGTGGAATAAGACGACGACATTTTCGTGGATGTTGTTACAAAGCAAATCATTTTGCTAGCAACTTATATAATTCCTTATAAAGTTAAATGGGTCTGTACTAGTAACTCATTGAATCACTTATTAAGTTAAATGGGTCTGTTTACACTGCACAATTGCTGTGTCTCATGTTCATTGTGAATATTCAAAGAAATAAATTCAGTCTGAAAGTCGTTTTTCTAATCCAAGGTTATTTGGTTCTCACGGTAAGATTGAGACTTAGGACACGACGAAAAGAAGAAATAACTGCGATTGACTGTGATGCATTCCTGATGATAACGTAGGAGTCGTTGATGCAGAACTCCTCCCCGCTCGTGTAGGACTTGCCCTACCCGAATCATCTTCTCAAAGTTTTGGAGATTATTAAGTACTAGCTAGGGAACCCAGCGTGGCCCAGTTAGTCCCACCGTTTACCCGCACATTGTCGTAAATTACGATTTTATCTGTTTTTCCCTATAAAAGTAAACCAACCCACGCAACTAAAAAACATTCCCGTGGGCCTCCCGAGTTCCCCAATCAAAATTTGAGGCAAATCGGTTTAGGGGTTCCTGAGTTATGATCGGACAAACAAACAAATTGAAGGGTAAGGAATGTTATATATATATATATAATAAATGATTTTGAGGGAATGATAATTAACTTATTGTGGAAAAGGTTTAACATCAAAGAGTGTTTAAAATCTTGGAAATCATTTCCCATTATTTTCTCGGAGCCCTTAATTTAAAAATTATTTCTGGGAAGAGAAGTGGCTGAACCGTGCAACCGTAGTTAAATCACTACTCTTGTTGTACCCCGGTAAAGAGAAGTGATTGAACTCTATCTTCGCGGTTCAACCATGTCTCGTTATTCATTAAATCTGCTCATTGATAACATAAAACAGAGATTCATCTAGAGATTTTGTGGCAAGTGTAAAACTTTTATGATACTATTTATTTCATTTTTTTGTGGCAAAATATTGTTAAAAGGCATATTGTGTACAATGTTCATTCTGATAATTCCTAGGTCAACCCCCCTGATATAAACCCCTTTAAAACTTAGAAATACAGCTGGGATCTCTTGTACTGGAAACTTTTGTAGTGCGGCTATCGAAATTAACGCTTGATCTCGATATTTTGTTAATCTGCAGATTAATTTATTCTTTATTTGATATCCCGCACGGTAATCCTACCCTGTCAGGGATTGAAGTGAACTTTGGTCAGGGGAGGAATAACTAAAATCAAGATATGGAAAAATATAATCTTTTTATAAATCCTTAAATGAGTATTATATGAGGTTTATGAGTATCCAATCATAAGTGTTGAGCTCAATTCAACCATATGCAAATTATAATAAAAGAATATTTTCAATTTAACATTTAATAAATTTGAGTAGATGTTCCTTCGTGACTAGGTTGGCTTGAATCCCACAAGTTTTGTTTGGTGCCAGCATTAGACTAAATATCTGCTTCCCTGTCCATAAAGCTACAGGCCTACAATAAGGTTTGTTTGGTGCCAGCATTAGACTAAATATCTGCTTCCCTGTCCAGAAAGCTACAGGCCTACAATAAGGTTTGTTTGGTGCCAGCATTAGACTAAATATCTGCTTCCCTGTCCATAAAGTTAAAGGCCTACAATAAGGTTTGTTTGGTGCCAGCATTAGACTAAATATCTGCTTCCATGTCCATAATGCTACAGGCCTACAATAAGGTTTGTTAGATTCTCTGGCCATTTGATTCTGGAAATCTCAAGGGAGTATATCTTATAAAGGAGTTACGCGCATGCAGCGTTGAATGACAAGACAAAGAGAGCATGCGCGTAACTCCTTTGGGATATCTGCCTCAGGGTTATTGTGAACGAAAAACCCCTAAAGCTTGAAAAGACGAAATCTAGTGTTTTATCTGAATTGTTGTTAATCTATGGTTAAATTAATGTCTTTATTAGAAACATTTTTCTCATTAGTCCACAATCCGATTCACAACGGTACACTTAAAAGCTATATCTGAGTAACAATGAAAAAGACACATTTTTTTCTATTGCAAATGTTGGAATCTGATAATATTCATTGTTGTCTCTGCAGCATAAATCCGCAAGTCACACAAGAATCCCCAATCAATTTTCAGCAAGAAAAATAATGATATCTCCTTCATCCTTGATCAGTCAAAAGTTTAAAGGGTATCGATGAGAATCGGATATGTCACTAAATTAAAATGACTAAATCCTTCCATTAATAAGTTCTTACTTCAGTATAGCTGGGGGAGGGAGATCAATCTCCAGGTTTGAATCCTCTCCAGCCAAGATCTGACTAATTATCTGACAAACCTGAATCAGTTATCATTAATTAAAGGGACTATCAGACAAATATTAGTTAAAGGGATTATTAGACAAATATTAGTTAAAGGGATTATTAGACAAATATTAATCAGTAATCATTAGTAAAAGGGATTATCAGACAAATATCAATCAGTAATCATTAGTTAAAGGGATTATCAGACAAATATTAATCATTAGATGAAGGGATTATCTGACAAACCTTAATCAATTATCATTAGTAAAAGGGATTATCAGACAAATATTAATCAGTAATCATTAGTTAATATTAATCAGTAATCATTAGTTAAAGGGATTATCAGACAAATATGAATCAGTAACTATTACTTAAAGGGATTATCAGACAAATATTAATCAGTAATCATTAGTTAAAGGGATTATCAGACAAATATGAATCAGTAACTATTACTTAAAGGGATTATCAGACAAATATTAATCAGTTGTCATTAATTGTAGAATAATAAACCATTTGCTGTAAAGAGGATTTTTTTCTAAATAAATCAAGTTTCAAAGGGACTGTTCAAAGAAAAAAGCCAAAACAATCGTGATTTACTATAGTGAATCTCCATGAAAGATGACAATGCCCGATTCACAACGGTACCCTTGAAACCTTCAAAAATGTGGTAGATATTGTCAGTTTCTAGGTTTAAAATATATTAAAATATAGGTTTCCCTGCAGTAAACTGCACAAGTCACTTTGGTGTCATAATTTGGTTACCTTCTCCCTGTCCATAATTTGGTTACCTTCCCCTTGCCTTCCCCCTGTCATGATTTGGCGTCATAATTTGGTTACCTTCCCCCTGTCCATAATTTGGTTACCTTCCCCCTGTCATAATTTGGTTACCTTCCCCCTGTCATAATTTGGTTACCTTCCCCCTGTCCATAATTTGTTTACCTTCCCCCTGTCCATAATCTGGTTACCTTCCCCCTGTCATAATTTGGTTACCTTCCCCCTGTCATAATTTGGTTACCTTCCCCCTGTCCATAATTTGGTTACCTTCCCCCTGTCCATAATTTGGTTACCTTCCTCTTGTCGTAATTTGGTTACCTTCCCCCTGTCAAAGAAAGCATCCTTCTGTGTGAGAAGATATCCACCAGTGATAAAATCTTGAGTAGCAGCAATCATTAATTCTCCATTCCTGATTCAACCACATCAATTTCAATAAAATTAACCTGAATGAGCACCCCCTCCTTCAAAAGGAATAGGGGAGAAAAAGTATTTGCAATGTTAAAATTAAAACTTATTTCTATAAAAATAACATTTTTTTTGTTTGAAAAAACATCTTATTTGAGAATTTGAATTTCTTTTTCAAAAATAATGATAGAAAAATGACGATATTTTCTTCATTATTAATCTTACAGGGTCTGTGAATTTTAAGCAATGTTGCAGTGTTGAGTAAAAAATTGTTTCAGGGTTAAATAAAAATTGCTTGTTTTTGTCCAGTAACAGTTTTTCAATATTAATTTAAAATTTTATGATTTGATTCCTTGGAGTGACAAGATTAGATTTGTTCCCCATTAAAATCAGGGCTTCTGCTCTAGCTTCTTCAGTCTAGGAAATGTCAATCAATCAATCAATCAATCAATAACATAATAAATTTATCAATCAATCAACCAAACAATAAATCAAGATCCATCAATCAAGATCCATCAATCAAGATCCATCAATCAAGATCCATCAATCAAGATCCATCAATCAAGATCCATTAATCAAGATCCATTAATCAAGATCCATTAATCAAGATCCATTAATCAAGATCCATCAATCAAGATCCATCAATCAACCAACCAACCAACCAACCAACCAACCAACCAACCAATCAATCAATAAATTACTTTTTCAAACAGTGGATCAATGCTTTAGAAAGAATGAATATTTTATGGTCAAATTAACAAATTAAGTCACCCATTTTCAAAGATTCAAACAATTCTGTCAGTCAGTTAATCGTTAGATCCACCAATCAATCAATCAATCAAAAACGCAATCAATATACCAATCAAAAACGCAATCAATATACCAATCAAAAACGCAATCAATCAATCAACTAACAAATCAATCACTACCTGTGGTAAATGAAGATTCATTTCATCTCCATCAAAATCTGCATTGTACGGTGTGCAAACACACTCATTGAACCTGGTAGGTATTAAATACGTTAATCCAGGTTCTATTGCAACTTAATTATTAGCCCCACCCCCTCCCCCCCCGTCTTTCAATTTCCTCGCATTTCAATATTCAGGGTTTCCCTTTCCCATCTTATGTCTGCCTTTCATTTAGTCTGTTGTCCCTATCATCTCGTCTTTTTCACATTTTATTTTTGATGTTTCCCTTTCATATCATGTTTATCCTCAACTTGTTTTGTTCCCCTTTCATTCTTGAAGTTTTCCTTTCGGTTTTTTTGTTTCTCTTTCCATTCCCCATAGCACTCTATTCCCAATTTTCCCATCCTACCCTTTCCATTTCCCCTTTTCCTTTTACATTTCTACTTTTTCTACTTTCCTAACTTTCTCTTTATATTTCTCCTTTCCCAATGAAATGTCTGTGAATTAGAATTCCAAGTAGAATCTAATTATATTTTTTGTCTGTAACATGTCGCTGTAATGTTACTAAAACTAGAATATGTTTTAATGCTGAAATCATTAAAAACTTAAGTTTTAATATAGGAAAGAATCATATTCAATAACTTACAGCATTGGTTAAAACTTAAAATCTATCGAATTGATGAAAGTTAAACCATCATGATTTATCAATGAATTACGAAATGCTAAAGTATCTGCTCGAAAACATTTACAATAAAACAGTAAAATTTTAAGTTTGTCTCTAGAAAGTGGGGTCAAAAGATACACTTGACCCCCCTTTTTCCAAAAGGAAGGGTCTTCGACCCCTTGACTCCCCCTGTATCCGCGCCTGCTCCTATCCCGTCTTTCCATTTTAGTTCCTCCTACCTAATCTTTCCCTTTCTCTTCTTCTTTTCCCCCTTTCTATCGCCCTTCTTTCCCATCTTTCCCTTTCGTCCTACTTTCCTAACTTTCCCTTTCAATTCCTCCTTTCCCATCTTTCCTTTTCAATTCCTCCTTTCCCATCTTTTCCTTTCAATTCCTCCTATGTTCTACCTGAAGGTTCTGCCCTGTAGAATCTTGGCACGATGACACATAATGGAAATCCTAAATAAAAACATTTTAAATCATATTTTTCAAAACAATATGTATGATGAGTAATATTACCATTAAAGATATAAATGACAAAACCGGAGTCATTTATTTGAGTGTGAAGACGTATTTTAATAGAGTGACATGTCCGATTCACACCAATGACATTTAGACCTCTATCTGAATAATAGTGAGGAAGATATCGTTGTTTTTCTATCTCAAAACGTATTGAATTATGAAGATGTCCATTATTGTTGGTTCAGTATAAATCCACATGATTTTTTTTTACAGAGAAATTATCAATTTACAGTTGAAAAATTATCATCCATGATCAGAGTTAGGTCTAAAGGGCACCATTGAGAATCCGACATGTCATACCATAGGTCACTTAAATATAACGTAATATAAAATCAACTGACCTATGAAGACTAGGTTGTCGGTTAAATAAAACAGGGTCCCCGTCCATCATATGTCGTTCCACAGTATCACCAATCTAGGAGAACAGGGGGTGCATATTTTCTTGAAAAAAAATCGTCCCCCCCCCCGAAAATAATTTTTTCCTCTAGAAGTTATAAAGGTTTTAGGGGAAAATAATAGAATTTTTGGGTGAAAAGTATCAAAAAGAATAAATAAATTCGCCTTTTGATGTCCAATTTTCATCCCCCCCCCCCAAAAAAAAACCATTCCCCTGATTCCGAAAAATATTCAGCCCTGTATTTTTTTTTCGGGTTTAATAACAAGATTTTTTNGGGGGGGGGGGGTGTCCAAGGTTAAAGCAAATAAATATGAATAAAAAAATAATGGAAAATACTTTTGCTTGATAAAATTACCTTTAAGTCTCCAGCAATCTTCTTCCGGTTTCCGTACATTAGAAACTTCTTGTTTCCAGTGTGCCCCTCCTGTACAGTACAACAGTACAAATAGCATTTTTTTTACAGACATGATTGCATCTATTATCAGCTAGTATAAAGAGCATACAGAACTTGTCTGAGAAGGCATAAGATGGATTGGTGGGACGAGTAGATTCCTGGGAAGCATTCGTGTTACCAGGCAGTCATAATAATTAAATAAATAAATACTTGGACAAAGAAAGTAATTGTAGAAGGTATTTATCAAGATGTGCTTTGACTTGAACTTTTTAGAAAAACTATTTCCTTCCGAGTGAGATTGGGTATGTTTTCCAATTTTCAAACATTTTTGGCTCCATGATGTGTATTGACACCATTAACTTGACAATGTTGGCTCCTAGATGTGTATTGGCTTCATTACCTTGAGATAGTTGGCTCCAGGATGTGCATTGACTCTATTATCTTGAGATAGCTGGCTCCTGGATGTGTATTGGCTCCATTAACTTGATACAATTGGCTCCTGAATGTGTATTTGTGCCTTTACCTTACCATAGTTGGCCCCAGGATGTGTATTGGCTCCAATACCAAGACATAGTTGGCTCCAGGATGTGTATTGACTCTATTGCCATGAAATATTCGGCTCCAGGATTTGTATTGACTCCATTAACTTGAAATAGTTGGCTCCAGGATGTGCAATGACTCCATTACATTGACATAGTTGGCTCCAAGATGTGTATTGACTCCATTACCTTGACATAGTTAGCTCTAGGATGTGTATTTGCTCCATTACCTTAACATAGTTGGCTCCAGGATGTGTATTGACTCCATTACCTTGACATAGTTAGCTCAAGGATGTGTAATTGCTCCATTACCTTTACATAGTTGGCTCCAGGATGTGTATTTGCTCCATTAATGACCAGCTGCTGCATTAGTTTTAGGTTGACTTTCGTAACCTACATTTATCATGATTCATGAAAATCAAAAAAAAAGATGTGAAAATAAATCGTTGTCACAATTTTAATTGCATTTTATTCAAGGGTGTATATTTTCCTAAAAATTGTTACCCCCCCCCCCCTCTAAAAGCAACATTAACATATAATCTTTAACCCATTTGGCTTGTCTTTCTGTCATTTTGTTAGTATTTATTGAAGGACAAATCGGCTCAACCGATTGGGTCCAATTTTTTCCCTAGACGACCCAAAAAAGGTTTTTTTCCTGGTCTAATTTTAAAAATATTGCTTCCAAGTAAATTATATCTTAGATATTTTTAGTAGACCACAAATAAAAATCCGCGAATTTTTTTTACTGTCATTGCTGCAAAATGTACAAAAGAAAAAGGCTTGCAGATAAGACCATGTAGCAACCAACACTATATAATGGTTTCAAGTAAGAGAGTCGGGAAGCGATCTGTGGAGCCTAATCTTTACTAATTTGCTGGATGAAGCATGTTTTCCTTTTCTGGGTAAGTAAGAATCTTTGCTACCAATTCAGGAACTCCAACCTAAAATAGATAAATTCCATCTCAGATATCTCAAAAGACACAAGTATTGAACGCAAAGCTGTAACATCTAATTGTTTTTTACAGATTTAACACTTAATCATTTCAATTAAAAAGTTTCAACTGTTCATATCAAGCTCATGTATTGAGGTTTAGCGCCATTTGAAACAAAAGTTGTGGTCTCGGGAGAAATATTCCTACCTGTTCAATCCTAAGGTTAGGATCAGGAGAGATGACCGTCCTACTGGAGAAGTCAACCCGTTTTCCGGACAGATTTCCTCGAAACCGTCCTTGCTTTCCCTTCAACCTCTGCACAAACCCTCTTAGCAAGTATTGCCTTGAGATGAAGTAAAGGGAAACAAAATCTGTTAAATCTAAAATCACTCTAAAGTTCACGTCTCTGTGATCTAGAATACTCGGAAACTTTGTCATCAAATTTTTATACAGTCTCCACTGTAAAGTGTCGCAACGCCTTGGCCGTAGGTTTGGCCACAACAACTCACTTCTACTTTTTTGTAGCTCTAGACATTCACATTTGAAAAATACAACGCGCTTATTTCTAGCTTAAGTTTGAAAGGAGAAGTTGGGAAAATACTCCTCGATTTTTGTGTAAGAGCATGAACATTGCAGAATCATCTTGGTAAGCAGTGGGCCGCACAGTTTATTAATTTTATAAAAGGGCGACCAGAAAGAAAAAGATTTTTTTTAATAGTTTAAAAACTTTTGATAGAACTTTACATCTCTTGCAAAACTACTTTCCTTGTGAATTTCTTGGGAGCTTTATCCGCTGGAATCCCGGATAGTTGGGAGTTGATGTGTAGAGCACATTGTAACTGCAGATAATCCCAGTCATCCTACAGACACATATCATTATTTTATTTTAGTTTTAATTGTTATTTTTATGATTTTAATTGTCATTTTTATAATCTAAATTGTTATTTTTATAATTTAAATTGTTATTTTTATAATCAGAGATGGAATTTAAAGAATTTGAGCCGCGGTTTAAATCCGCCAAAACCAGGTTTAAATTAAGCGCCGGCTTAAATCTTGAAACATTTGATACAATTTTAAGTGGAACCAACCATATTTAAACCGCGGCTTAAATTTAAACCGCCAATCAAATTCTTTAAATTCGGCCACTGGGTATCTTAAAAACAATGGGAACAAGGGGTTAAAGCCTCTTGATGTATTTACAACTTCTGATTTTATTCCTACTATTATAGATTATAGATTACACATTTCAAAAAATACATAGGCGCAGAATTTCTTCAGGGTGTAATTACGGTTAAGTAAATCAAACCTCATGCACCCCTTACTAAAAGTTTTTAGGATTGCCCCATTAAAGGCAGGTTTACGACTAAACAGGGTGTAGACTGAAGCCTATAAAACATTTGAGGTGTTGAACGCGACTAATATTAGTTCCATCTGATGTCCCTGTTTCAAGAAATATATATAAAACTGTTTCAAAGTTATATACCCCCCCCCCCCCCCCCCCCCCAATAAAAATGACAAAAATCAATGAAAAATTACCCTGTGGTGTACTGCTTGTCTTGTCCATTAAGAGAAAAGGAAGATCTTGATCCTAAAAAATAAAATAAAAAATATTTTGGAGAAAAAAAATATAAAAAATATAATTCTGAATTTGTACTACCAATCACTATTTTAATATCTTTTTTTAGTTGGTTTGGGTTGTATGGTTGCTATTATTATTGTTATTTTCTAATTTTAAGGTAGGTTTACAGATTATATATAAAAATGTCATTTAAAAAATGGTAAATCTGCGATATTGTGTGTTATAATAAAATGTACCTGAATATTCTTGAAAAGAGCTAGAACTTCAAGAGGATTGAATATATGGATGAGCGCACTCCCCAGCATTGATTCAATCTCAGAGTTCTTTTCACGGAGCTCATCGTATTCAGCCAGCTTATCGTGAATTATCTGAACAATTAAAAATATTTTTACAATACAGGGAGTGTGAACAAAATTTTAGGATAAAATTTGTTTATATTGAGTGAAAGGCTCGATTCACAACAGTACCTAAAACAGTACCCAAAACAGTACCCAAAACAGTACCCAAAACAGTACCCAAAACAGTACCCAAAACAGTACCCAAAACAGTACCAAAAACAGTACCCAAAACAGTACCCAAAACAGTAAACAAACAGTACCAAAAACAGTACCCAAAACAGTACCCAAAACAGTACCCAAAACAGTACCCAAAACAGTACCCAAAACAGTACCCAAAACAGTATCCAAAACAGTACACAAAACAGTACCCAAAACAGTACCAAAACACTCTTTATATTAAAACCGATGAGGAAGCTATCGTTATTGTTCTTTTAAGGAAAAGTATTAATTTCCATATATAAACAAACCATAATTGATAATAATAAATGTCAAGCAAGAAAAACTAGCGATATCTACCATTGATCAGATAAAGGTTTAAAGGGTACTGATGTGAATCAGACATGCCACTCTATAAATGAAAGGTAACTTTTACATTTACATTCCCTTTATTCGCTTAATTGGGGGAAGTAAATTATTTTTAGGGGAAAATAAATTAATGTTTGGGTAAAAAGTATCAAAAAGATTGACAAAAACTGCCTTTTGATGCCTAATTTTCATTTTTTCCTCCAAATCATCAAAAACAGATTTTGAAAAATATACACCCCTAAAAACTTACGTTAGAGCTCTTCTTGACAGATCTGTATTTTTCATGTGAGATCTTGAGAAGTCCACACTTCTTTACAACACCGTTTAAATCTCCACAGGAGAAACATTGGTTCACCTTCTTCATCTTATCTAAATATCAATAATTTTCAAAAGACCATTAATATTATTATTATCATTATTATTATTATACAGAATATTGGCCATAATCTTCAAGATTTAACGCAAAATTGCACACAGAGAACACAAAAACCTTAACTTTCTTACTATTATTTTCTTACTGTTATTAAAACGATTCATTAATAAGATAAAATAAGGTAAGGATCTTAAAACCCCTAATCTTGGATCCCAGACCTCCATCGGGGCAAGCACCCATATGTAAAGAAGTAATCTCTGTTTGTCTGTTTGTTAGTTTGTTCAATCATAACTCAGTCTCGGAGTCATGAACACCTTGACCAATTTGAATCAAAAATTTGATTGGAGAAATCCGTATATCTTGCTTGGTTTGAAAACTAAAAATTTTAAGCTGAGTGGGTTGACTTTTTACAGAAATTTTAGTTTCCAGGCAAAGTTGAGTTTCCGAGATAGTTCAAAATAAAGCACATTTATTAACCATAGAATAAATTTGCAAAAATATACCTAGAAGCTTCTTTCTCAATGCCTTCTTCGTAAGATACGGCATGTTGGGGTTCTTGAGCCGTTCTCTAAAAATCAGCTGATCAGCCGGCTTCAAGAGAATGCGGGAACATGTTTTGCAGATACTTTGCAGAACCTGGTGCATTTTTTTTATTTATTTTAAAAGTCTAAAAATCAAACAAATTAAAAAGTTTGTTTTTAATCTTTGTGAAGAAACAATCTCAAGAACTGACGAGGGTCAATCCAGACCGAAATATATTTTCAATAAATATGGAACTAACATCTACTTTTTTACTCTACAGAGGTTTGGTCCATCACCATCACCGAGTTTTAGATTATAAGTTATTTCAGAGTTTTAAGGTAGATCTTTAAGCGGAGGAATTGGCTCAGTTGTGTTTCAATTTCAATAATTGGATTTAATTATGCTTGATTTCAAATAGGTAAACAATCACTTTACGTTAGTGTAAAAAGTAATATCATGATTTTTGGAAACAATAAAAATTCCTGAATAGTGGCTCTGAAGTAACCCACGTGGTAAACCGGAAGCTCTAAGTCCACATATCTTAAAAAAGTTTGTTTTAAAAAATGAATGATATTTAAGATAATATTTAGAACTTACCCAAAATGTCCAACACAGTCCTGTAGTCCTTTACCGCATGTTGTGCAATTAAACTCTTTCTGACTTGTCCCCATTCTAATTAAATCAAAATTGTTAAACCCTGACACACAGTTAACTTGTCCCCATTTTAGTTTTATCAAAATTGTTAAACCCTGACACACAGCTACAAACAAAGATGTAAAAATCACCCAAAGATACATTATACCAGCTAAAATAATCCTATAAAACAAACAAATAAGACTCTATGTCATACTACTATGCTTCAAACTCGAAATAACTTTACCAAATCAAGATAGAAACAAGGCCTTATAGCTTGAATCTACCAACAACTTTTACTTGTATATAGTACAAAAAACCTGTTGTCTAGAGCTCCAAACAGTACAGCAGTTCTCCCTGTATCCTGGTTGTACAGATTCTTAGCTACAACCTAAACATCAGTTTACCAATAAGCTAATCAATTAACTAATCAATTAGCTGATCAATCAATAAGCTAGATAATCAACTAATCAATGAGCTAATCAATCAATTAAGCAATCAATTAATCAACATACTAACCAATCAATTATCCAATAACCTAATTAATCAATTTATCAACAACATAGCCAATTAATTAATCAACAATCTAATCACTTAATTAAACAATAAACTAATCAGTCAATTACTCAACAACCTGTTCAATCCATTAAAAAAATACCTAATTTATCAACTAATTAACAATCTAATCAATCAATTAATAAATAACCTATTCAATCAATAAATCAACAAACTTATCAATCAAATATTTAACAGACTAATCAATGAATTAACCAACAACCTAATCAATCAATTAATAAACAACCTATTCAATCAATAAATCAACAAACTTATCAATCAAATATTTAACAAACTAATCAATGAATTAACCAACAACCTAATCAATCAATTAATAAACAACCTAATCAATCAAATATTTAACAAACTAATAAATGAACTAATCAACAACCTAATCAATCAAATATTTAACAACCTATTCAATCAATAAATCAACAATCTTATTAATCAAATATTTAACAAACTAATCAAAGAACTAATCAACAGCTTAATCAATCAAATATTTAACAACCTAATTAATCAATTATTCAACCACTTAATCAACTATCAATAAATAAACAAAACTCTATGTATAAACTTATTTTTTGAACAGTTTTTTCTTCAAAAATCACTAAATTAGACTCTTATCTTGTTAAATGCAGCACTTTGACACTTATTCTTGTATAGCTGGCAAGCGCTAAAGTTTAATTCTCTTTTGAAAATACATAAAACCCAATATATAAAGCCTAACCTGAATTTGTGCCGCTTTCTGGATTTCTCCCGCATTTTGCATTCCAAAGCAAACATGTGAAATCCTAAAAAATTTTACTTTTTACAAAATTCTTTCCCCATTTTTTGTTTAAAGGTGACCTTTAAGACAATTCTTCGCTTGTTCTGTGCTTGTGTGTGTCACTCGGAAAGCTTAATCACAAAGAAACCAGTTTTTACTGCATTTTGGGGGTACGTATTTATTAGGGGATATATTTTGGGGGTACGTATTTATTAGGGGATATATTTTTTTGCAAAAAATAATTCTCCCAGTTTAAAAAATCGTATTATTTCTAAAAAATTCTAGGGATTTAGTTATTGAATAGGTGATAAAGATTAAATTCGTCGCTTCAAAAAGAGGTGAAACTCCTTCCAATTGAATTCCAAATTTCATGGTAAGTCCTTTTGAAATTATATGATTATATATATATTGCCTAAGGGCCAGGAACAACCCCAGCACTTTAAATAAATAAATATAAATATATATCCCTTTATGGGCCTGTCCTTGCATTCTCAAGTGGCCTTCCATTTAAATAGGGGAATGTCAGACCCACAATAAAAATGTGTAAGATATTGAAGTTTTAATAGCTTAACAAGTATTTAATTCTGATAAGCCTTCCATTGTTTATACAGCAGAAATGCCCAAGCACTTATACAGAGAACCCACAATTGAAAATAATAAGTTTTTGAAAAGAAAAACGTGGATATTTAATTCAAACTTGACCAGACAAAGCTTTTAAGGGTACATTTATGAATCAGACATGCCACTCTTAGTTTTTCTTTAAAGGTTGGGGGAGGGTATTTTGATATTTCGTTTACAGTCTCTTTAATTTAGATAAAAAACTTACTTATGAGAAGTATCCGCCTCCCGATATTGTTCTTTCATTTTGTTTGAGTTATTTCATCTGAAATCTTCAAAAATATTGCATTAAATCATCATATTACAAATATTAAAAGGTATATGGTATAAATTACATAAATTTTTCAATGATTCAAAATTCAAAGTCATGAGTTGCAAATATTTAATTGTGGTTTTCAATGTTTAGATTTTAGCACGTCCTTAAAAATGCGTTTTAAAGTTTTTTTTATTTTGTAATTTTAATTCGTGTTCGAAATTTCTTGGGCAAATACTGTAAAGCAAATCTATATATGTAATGTATATTAATGTTGATCTATATAATAAAGCTCTTCGTTTCAGCTAGTCACCTATAATTCTTTTATCACAGTCATAATTGTGCAACTTAGGTCATTGTTGACTTTTCACTCAGTTTATGATATAGGGTTCTGGTCCAGAGAGATCTTTATAAATTCTTCATTCATTTTTTACTATTCCTGTTTTTTTATCAGAATCCTCTTCTTCTGGCATGAACAGCAGGAGTGGTATTGTCAGTACAGCTAGTGTTGAGAATATACAAAACATACAGAACAGTCCTAATTCATCTATAAAACAACCAGATACTGAGGCAAAGCTAAGCTTCCCAAACACCTGAAATGATATTCCTAAATTATTATTTTAAACTAAAAGCCCTACATCTCTTCAAAAGCCAGGAGGGACTAGAAACTAACCTCTATAATAGTAGGAGGATAACAACTAACCTCTATGGTAGAAAGGAGGCTCTAGAAAGTAACCTCTTCAATAGTAAGGAGGGACTAGAAATAAACCTCTTCGGTAGCAAGGAGGGACTAGAAACTAACCTTGTTGACAAAGTAAGGAAGGACTAGAAGCTAACCTTTTCAATAGTAAGGAGGGACTAGACACTGACCTCTATGAAGCAAGGAAGGACTAGCAACTAACCTCTACAGCTGCAAGGAGGGACTAGTAACTAACCTTGACCAAGCAAGGAAGGACTAGAAGCTAACCTTTTCAGTAGTAAGGAGGGACTAGACAATAACCTCTCAAGGATGAACTATAAACTAACCTCTACAGGTGCAAGGGGACTAGTAACTAACTTCTACAGCTGCAAGGAAGGACTAGAAACTAACTTCTACAGCTGCAAGGAGGGACTATAAACTAACCTCTATGAAGCAAGGAAGGACTAGAAACTAACCTATATTGTAGCAAAGAGGGGTGGATTCTACTGTATATAGCAAGGAGGGACTAGAAAATAACCCCTAGGAAGCAACGAAGGACTAGAAACTAAAATCTTCAGTAGTGAGGGGGGCTTAGACACTAACGAATAAGAAGCAAGGAAGGACTAGAAACTAACCTCTACAGTCTACAGCTGCAAGGAGGGACTAAAAACTAACCTCTACAGGTGCAAGGAGTGACTAGAAACTAACCTCTACAGCTGCAAACAGGGACTAGAAACTAACCTCAATGAAGCAAAGAAAGACTAGAAACAAACCTCTACAGCTGCAAGGAAGGACTATAAACTAACCTCTATGAAGCAAGGAAGGACTAAAAACTAACCTCAACAGTAGCAAGAAGTGAATAATGTGTAGATTGAATGGACTCCTCTGCTCCTTGAGAAAGGCTCATCATGGCAGTGAATGCAGCTGTTGTCAAAGTTCCAGCACAGAAGTTCCCGATACAAAGACTAAAATTATCATGTATTCTTATGTCCATTTAATGCAATGAAAGCATCATCTTTCAAATTCAAATTAAAGATGGAATATTATATTTGTGTTTGCTCATTTCAAATAAAAATATTTGTAAAGTCAAACCTGAAAATTGCCGTGTGGAAGTAAAAGCTATGAATTGAAACTATATCTAGATCCTCCAGCTTAATCCCTTCCATTCCCCACATGTAGATTATTAAGGTCTGCAGTAGGATGGGCAGAACTCTGAGGCTGCAGAAGAACAATAAAACCCGTCTAGGTTTCCATAGCTTTCTTGATAGGAGATACCCACCAAAACCAGACCCTGAAAGATTAGATATTAGAANCATAACCATATATGGCAATATATCATCACCTTTGAAAGAAATTCATGACAAAGTGGGGAAAATTAATCTAGAGGAATGTTTTTTCTTATTATGTATAGTTGTCCTGTCTTAAGTTCAAGGGGGATTTTTAAAATAAAAAAACTGGAAAATGTTATCATACTGAAGTTGCATTTTTCATAATTCCTTAATAATTAGGAACCGAATTTAAACTGCCTAAATTTGAACCACTCATTCAATTCCTTCTTTAGTCATTAACTTTAAATCAGTGTTTCGAATTTGAACCGGCAATAGGTTGTTCAGCTTAAATTCATTAAATGTGGTCCCAGAAATTGAAATACATTTATTGCTTTTTTTATTGATTAATGTAAAAAAACAAAAGGTAGAAGGAAAGGAAAATCATGTGATAGGACATGCCAATATAATAATTACCAATGATAGAAGCCACAGACCTGACTAAACCATTCCACACAGCCAATCTTGTCAGGGGTATGTTCTTATCCACTCAACATATAAATCATTGGACATGGGAATTTTTAACTGTTTAGAAAGGTCCCCATTTGTATTTGAAATACAAAGACAACTCCTCTTGTTTTAAAGAAGAGTAAGCTATTTATTATTGCTAATATTAAGCTATTTATTATTGCAAATATTAAGCTATTTATTATTACTAAGATTAAGCTATTTATTATTGCTAAGATTAAACTATTTATTATTGCTAATATTAAGCTATTTATTATTACTAAGATTAAGCTATTTTTTTAATACTAAGATTAAGCTATTTATTATTGCTAAGATTACCCAATTTATTATTGCAAATATTAAGCTATTTATTATTGCTAANTGGGACAAAGAACAATTTATTTATTATTGCTGGGGCTTTATAATCATTCTATTAGTTCATCTCTCATTCTTGGTCTTTTAGACAAACATTTTAAATTTCCTTCAGTTTAAATTCACACATTTGTTTTAATTATTTTTTGAGTAAAAGATTAACCTAGATAAATTGGGAACACTGATTCTCCTCTTTCACATAGTTTATAAAACAGAAGGAATCCAACCATCCATCCAGTACCATTCAACCTAGCATAAAGAAAAGAGTAATCAAATTTTAACCCCATTCACGCGGGGGGATTTTACTGCATTCAGATATACGAATCTCTCAGAAAACTATGAAGAGGAGTAAAGTTAGAGAAAAAAAAATTATGATGTTTTTCGACATAGGATCTAGCTACACGGATATGCACTGTCAGTGCCTCTCAAGCCACTTCTGGTAGCACTGGTGAAGTCGTCTTTGGTGAGGGTGGAAGTGACCCTATCCCGCCTGGTCTTAAATGTCTTATATGCTTAGGAACTCCCCTGCCAGCTTTTTTTCCGCTTGAGGATCAGGAAGAAGCGGCAGGGGCCAGATCCGAACTATAAGGGNGTAGTCGTCCATCACCTCAATCTTCACCTTGGTAGCCAGGAAGTCTATGTGGGCACTTTGTGGGCGAGGACGTGAAGAAGCACAAGACCAGGTAGGATGGGGTTGCCTCCACCCTTACCAAAGACGACCTCATCGGGTGCTACCTAAAGTGGTTGGAGAGGCACCGAAAATGCATCCATGTAGCTGGATCTAAAAATAAAAAAAAGTTTCTTTTCTCTAACTTTATTCCTTTATTGTTTTCTGAGAGATTCGCATTCTTTAATAGTACATCTCGTAAAAGCGGCTTAAACTAGAACACTTCTTTACTTTTCAACCACAATTTTTTTTTGGATACTTAGGGTATAGCAGGGTGGAGGACGGTCAAACGGCTGGTCAGGATTACAAAAAAAAATAAAAATAGTCCATAATTTCAATATATGAAAAGTTTCAATCTTCTTAGTAAATTTTACAGAGCCATCCCTTCTTTTTAGAATTCTTTGTTTGTTCCTTTCGAGTGTAGGAATGTGAAAAAAAGGTCAAGCTGTGATAAAAACTAACAAACTATATAGAATAAGTTTAACAAACTAACCTGAAAATCTGACGAAGGTTCTCTTTAATCATAATTATGGTTGATTTCTCCTGAACTGTTGTTTGATTTGCTGGTTTGGATTGAATAAGACTGAGGGAAACTACAAGTAGAACTACAACCAGGTACAGCAGGGAGAACAGGGACCACCTTCAAGTTTAAATCATAATATTATCAGCAATCACAATAACATCTTCTTCTATATAATAAAACAAGACATTCCTATTTATAGCCGGCCAAACGGATGGACCGAAAGCGCTGAAATATTTTGAGGGAACCCATGGGAACCCTATATGGGCTAAAAAAATTCTCAAATTTGTATTTTTCAAAAGTTGAATTTTTTTTTTAAAAATCTTTTTTATAATTCAACGGGCAACGCCGGGCTCTTCAGCAAGTGACTAATAATATAATATATATGTAGAAGAGCGTTTTTAAACACAAAATAGTAAATATTTTACATGATTTGATGTCCAAAAACTTCTCCCACCCAGAGAAGGATCCCTCCGACTGATACAGCTCCTAGCTTGTATGCAATAACCTAAAATATTCCCATAAACTCCCTCCATTATGAAACCAAATACAAAAAAAAACTGAAAACTATAAAAAGCAGGAGATCAAAAAGATTTTAACATGAGGCCTATCAGGAATTTTAATTTTTAATACTGTTTGACCAAATTTTTCTCTTTCAAAATTCAAATACAGCCTTGATAAATTTTAAACGGTCAAAGGGAATTGCAGGAGAGAACAAAATTGCAAGAGAGAGATAAAATTTTGAAAAGCTTTGAAAATAAATTTAAATCTTTCAGTATAATCTTTTGTGTGGAAAACTGAATAAAAAAATATTCCTGAAGTATATTTTGAAAATAAAAATAACACCTGAACTGTATTCCCTGCTCCTAGCTCATCATTTTTAAGAATACGAATTGCTACACTGTCAACAGAAATATCCTGGAAAAAATAATAAATAAATAATGGGCAGAGCATGAGGTTGTATACCTGTGTAGCAGAGTGGCTAGGTTGAGGATGTATGTTTTCTGTGTAGCAGCTGCAGAGGCAAGGTTGAGGATGTATACCTGTGTAGCAGAGACAAGGTACAGTATGTATACCTGTGTAGCAGAGGCTAGGTTGAGGATGTATACCTGTGTAGCAGAGGCTAGGTTGAGGATGTATATGTGTAGCAGAAGCTGGTTGAGGATGTATACCTGTGAAACAGAGACAAGGTACAGTATGTATACATGTGTAGCAGAGACAAGGTACAGTATGTATACCTGAGTAGCAGAGGCTAGGTTGAGGATGTATACTTGTGTAGCAGAGGCTAGGTTGAGGATGTATACCTGTGTAGCAGAGGCAAGGTTGATGATGTATACCTGTGTAGCAGAGGCAAGGTTAAGGATGTATACCTGTGTAGCAGAGGCTAGGTTGAGGATAAATAGAACAAGGGAAAGGTAGATTAAAGAAAGATCTCCCTGTAGAGCTGATATTCCACATACAGCGCTCATAGACAACATGCTTACAACTAAACCGAACAAATACATCTTAATGAGTACTTTTTAAAAAAACAGGATGACCCAAGGTTAAAATTTAGGTATTTTTCAGTCACTTTTTTGTTTCAAGTTGGTACAAAAAAATTAGAATGACCCATGGTCAAAAGGTAGAAATTTCGGTGTGGTTGCGAATAGCAGCAGCATTTTTTCAAAGGGTTTTATTTGCTGAATTGGGAAAAATAAATGGTTTATGGGGGAAAATAAACAAATTTTTGGGTACAAATTGAGAAAATTGGGATAAAAATCTTGCCTTTTCATGTTAAAGATACATTTTTTCCCAAATCTCTTAAAATAATTTCTTAATTC